AGATCAGGCCTGGGCGATGCTGCATTCCCTTTGTGGGCTGGGCAGCTGGTTCTGGGCCACCCATACTCCCTTCCACACTTCCCCTCTTTCCTCCCACACAGGGCTGGACCATACTCCCTTCCCCCTTGCAATGTTGGGCCATGCCTCTCCCCCTGCAGGGTCAGGTTGGGGCTGAATCATGCCCCCTTCCCCCATGTGACTGAATTGCAGCTGGGCTGTACCTCCCCCCACCACCTGGGACTGGATGGGGCCCTGGCCTATGGAGGGATCAGGCACTGCCTGTCCAGCCCACTGGACAAAAAGGTTGAGCACCACTGATATAGACCATGTGGTACAATGGGATATGGGCAGGCAGACAAACTATACAGCATTAAAAAGGGTTTGGAGGACTTACTGTGGAACTATTTTGTGCATCTCCTTCCATCTTATGGTAAATTCTACTTACAAAAGAAGATTGGACACATGAAGTAGTTTCATAGTTTCATAGATTTAGGGTCGGAAGGGACCTAGTAGATCTTCTAGCCCGACCCCCCGCCAGGGCGGGAGAACAACAAAACCCCAAAACAAGAAACGGGACTCAGATGAGTCCAGCCAGGTAGGCATCCAGCCTCTTCTTAAAGACCCCCAGGGTAGGGGCCAGCACCACTTCCCTTGGAAGTTGGTTCCAGCTCCTAGCCGCCCTAACTGTGAAGTAGTTTTTGCGGATGTCCAATCTATACCTCCTCTCCATCAACTTGTGCCCATTACTCCTTGTTATGCCAGCGGGCGCTAGGGGAAACAGCGTCTCCCCCAAACCCTTCTGGTCCCCCCTAGTGAGTTTATAGACGGTCACCAGGTCCCCCCTCAGCCTTCTCTTGTGGAGGCTGAATAGGTTCAGGTCCCGCAGTCTCTCACTGTAGGGTCTGCCTTGTTGTCCCCGGATCATGCGGGTGGCCCTCCTCTGGACCCTCTCCATGTTGTCCACATCCCTCTTGAAATGGGGCGCACAGAACTGGATACAATACTCCAGCTGTGGCCTGACCAGCGTCGCATAGAGGGGGAGGATCACCTCCTTGGCTCTACTCGAGATGCACTAGTTACTGTAGAGCAGATGAGATGACATACAATAAGTCCCTTTTCAATTTCTTTGCTGCTGATGCAAGATGGTTCTTGGGATCTGCCAAAGATATATAAACACCTCACTGGCTGCCTATGGACAGAGGTGCTCCAAAGAATTTCTGTAGTTGTTATGCTCACATACCCCTGTTCCAGGAAATCCTGCACCTGTCTCTCAGCCCCTCTGCTTAGGGATTTCCCTATAAATGGATCTCAGAACTTTGCTCCAGCTTGTTTAAGGCAGGGATATCAAACTTATCTGGCCCCTGGATGAGGGGCATGGGGCTGGCCCAGCATATGGAGCTGGTCTGTGGGCCCAATCTGGATTGATCCTGCTTCTAGCACACAGCTGATTTGATACAGGGCTTGCATGCAGTGCATTCTCCAGACCAGTCCCATGTGCCGTGCACAGGACTGGAACGAACACGTGCTGCATGTAGTATGATCTGAGACCCAAAGACAGCACTGCAGGCCAGATGATGGGGCTCTGTAGGCCATAACTTTGACATTCCTATTCTAGGGCAAAGGGTGGAAACTTCACCTGTGCTATCAACAGGACTCTTACAGCTGGGGTTTGTGGGGTGTTTGTTTTTAAGTACTAAAAAAAGTATTTATTAAAATGACTACCTTTTTATTTCTAATACTTTGTCTCTTCTGGTATTTCTCTGCTTCCCGTGGCTGTTTTGCTGCTCCACTGCAATATTGAAGCACTGGGAGAGGGTTGGCACTGGTTCTTTGGTATAGTGCCACCCAACCACACTTAGAGCAAATTTGGGACACAGGCAGTAATGTCAGTAGCAGAACTCTGCCTAATGCTCCCACTGTTTCTGCCAGTGGTGGTAGTGTAACAGTAGTAGCCATCTTTAACATAATGTAGCCTTGTAACTGATAGCACTAATCTTAGGATAATAGGAAGGGAGAGCTGGAAGGAACCTCAGGAGGTTATCTTGAGCAGGGAGGTGGACTAGATAGGATTATGAAAATAGGGTGAACTAGAGGGTGGAAACAACTGTGTTTTTTACTTTTCTCTATTCTTGAACCATGAAGACTTGATTGGCTGATGAGGCCTCTTCCAGTCATGTCCCCATCAATTTTAATAAGTTACTGTCAGTTTTATATCCATAGCATACTTGATACATACCTGCTAAACAAAGCTTGTACCTCCTTTTATATAGGAATGATGAATATTAGGACTGTGCGAAGCTTTGGGTGCTGATTCAATTTGGAGGAGATTCCATTTGATTTGGCAGCCAAATCTCCAAATCTGGAAACCAATAAAAAGGTTCAAATCAAAGTTCTCCAAATTGATTCGGAGATTCAGGCAGTTCCTGCTTGCCGCCACAGGGAGCTGGACCTAGAGCCCGTGCCAGTAAATGGGTGGAGGGGACCATGGAGGACCCCCGCCAGGCCCTGCCTCCTGACACCCCTTCCCCCACTCTCCCAGCCCTGTCAATGGCTGCCCTGCCTGGCTCCTTTTTTTTTTTTTAAAAGCCCTGTACTCACTGGCTACTGGCAGGCAGGGGGGCAATCTCTGCCATACACTGCGTGGGGGGCTCTGCCACAAGCCCCCAGAAGCCCCAATGGCTGCTACAGCAGCCAGTGAGTGCAGGGCTTTTAAGAGCTTGACAGGGCTGGGAGAGTGGGTGTGGGATGGGGCCTGTTTGGTTTGGGTGATTCAGCCGAAATGATTCAGGACAGTGATTCGAATCACCAAATCAAATCACTGTCCTCTGAATCAGACAAATTCAAATCCGAAGCAAATACTGTGCTTCACACAGGCCTAATGAACATGCCATCCCTTTAGGCAGAGGTCAGGGACCTATGGGTTGTGGGCCAAATCCAGTTTGCAAAGAGCTTAGAACCAGTCTGCAGTGGTGGGGGAAACAGCAGCATGTGGTGACAGACTGCAGAGGGGATGCCTCGCAATGTTGTTCTGCCTACTGCATGCCACTTTCCTTGTGCATTCCTGCACTGTGCTCCACTTCTTATCTGCACAGCCCTTGCTGACGCTTCATCCATACATGCTCTCTACCCTTGCTGCTGAATGAGTGCCTCAACATGATCATTGGTCATGGGATTCTGTGGCACTTGGTGACAGGAAGTGGGGACGGTGGAGGGAGGGAAGGTGTGAGAGAGTAAGAGAGGTAGTGCTGAAGGGGCAGCAAGGGATCAGCAACCTGCGGTGGTGGCTGGGTCACAAACAAAAGCCCACAATTCATAAAGGTTGCCAATATCTGCTTTTAATTTAATAAGAATGAACCCCTGATTTGTAGTCACAGAACTCTTAAAATATGAATGTGTAGGATGGGTATTGCTTGCGCATTTCAGAAAATAGCACTAATGTAATTTAATTGACTTCTGTGATATCTGGCAACAAATAAAACTATTTTCCTTTCTCTTGTTATAGGCCTTGTCATCTTGTCTGATCTTGCCTGGTGATACAACTGTCATATGTTCTTCATGGGACAATCACATGTGTGTATTTGCTTTCTCTTGCTAATATTTAATTACCTTATGGACATGGAAATAAGCTACTAGAGATGCTTGTACTATTTTTCTGTTTAGAAATTGCAGAAGCCAAAACAGTTTAATGTCTTTAAAAGTTTTCTCTTAAATACTGCTTTTGTAACTAATTTTTTCCTATTAGCTATTTTTATTCAATTGCATTTGGAAGACGGCAAGATGTTCTAATGGGACACGATGATGCTGTCAGCAAGATACGTTGGCATGATGATCGCTTATATTCTGCATCTTGGGACTCCACTGTGAAGGTTTGTTTGTCAGTTATTTACTGTTTGTTCCCATCAATTTTGCACCAAGGTGATTGCAATACAGTCTGGAGCTGATCAGCTGTTCTGTCATACATAAAGATTATAAACAACAAACTTAAACTCAGTGCGATTGACTTTATCTCCTCTATATTGGGCTGTATCTTGGTTTCAGTCAAATGCTGTAGTTAATGTGCTCTTTAGATGAAGTATCTTAATAGCATCAATACTTCATGACCTTCATTAGATATCTGTTGGCGAAGATCAAGGCATTGACATTGGCCACTAAAGCTAGGATAAGATCTGCCTTGTCTGACTGCTTCTCTCTGTCCAGAAGCATAGGTTAATGAACTAGAAAATCTATACCTCCTATGTACAGGCAGGTTGCTGGTGTGATGGTACCCCCCAAACTTTTTGAAATGCATTGTTGTTTTGATGACAGATTTCAGATCGATCTGACATAGTGCATTCTACCAAGTTAATCTCTTTGGAACATTGGGAGATCTGAATTTTTCTTGCTGAATTAACGAGGGAGGTGTATGTTGATCAGTTCATATAATATCAGCACCAATAAAAAGAAAATTGACATTATTGGCAATTAGCTTTTTTTGGCTGATGTGGTCAATAGTATCACTGATTTTTAAATGCATGTATGTGCACAGCCACAGCACGCACACGGCCAGGAATGCATCCTGGTATCTTAGAGAGCAGCATCTGGCCGGTAAGTGGGCGGGGGGGGGCGGGGCAGATCAAGGCTTACACTGTGAGGAAGGAAGTGGGGCTGGGGCAGGTGCTGCAGAGCTGGGGTGGGGCATGGGACAGTTGTGGGCAGCTCATCCAGGGGGGGAGGGGGTGGCAGCTTCCGCCACTGCGTGCACCCCCGGGGAAGGCATGTACCCGCCCAGATTTGTGCATGGGGTGAGGGTGGGCTGAGGGCTCGGGCCCAGGGTCTATGCCAGCCTCTTTCTGGTGGGGGGGCTGGGCCAGGGCTGTGCTTGGGGTAGGGGTGGGTGGCACTAGAAGGAGGACCATGGGGGGCTACAGTGAATTTTGTGGTGGCTGTAGCCCCCCTCCCAGCGCTGTCGCCCACCCTTGCCCCACACACGCATCTGACCCGCGCCCTGCCCCAGCTGGTCAGCACCTACCTGTGCCCCTGCCCCAGCCCTACTGCCTCCCTTACCATGGGAGCCTTCATCTGCCCCTTCCCCCCACAGACTTACTGGCCAGATGCTGGTCTTCAAGCTGCTGGGCTGCATATCAGCAATCAGATTGGTATCGGCTGATATAGCTGGTTAATAATAGGCCATTGGTATTGGCCAAAAAAAGCTTTCAGTGCACCCCTACTGTTTTTCATGGTTTGTCAGGGCAGTTGAGGCTGCTAAGAGCATTATAGTTTCATAGTTTCATAGTTTCTAGGGTCGGAAG